CACCACCACCACCACCACCACCACCACCACACTCTTCCCCATCATCGCCCGACACATCCATCATGGCGTTGAAAAGGTCGTACGAGAACGCTGTCCAAGACGGCCTCCCGACAACCAATGGCGGCACGGCCGACGCCTGCCACGATGATCACTCGCAGGGCACCTCCAACGGCAAGCAGCGCCGCCTCAGCACCGTCGACGCCGATGCAGACTGCGCCACCGCATCCACATCCGCGCGTCCAAAGGCGCTCCCGAGCACCTCGAGAGCCCGCTTCGTGCCCGGTCTGCAGACATTTGTCGGTGGTCTGCAGATGTCGCAAGGCTTGGCCGCATCCTCTTCGTCTACACCGTCTCCGCCCTTGCCTCCCACCACCCGACGCTCTCTCGACGCGCCCGACGCCATGCAGCCGCTCATGATGAGCCGCAACCGTGATTCAGAACGCAGAAGCAGCCAAGGCGCATTGCGTCGCCGCTCTCAAGAAGCGCTCGAAGAGACACTTGGACGCCCCTCTCGGTCCATCCAAGACGAGGCGCAGTTGGTGCCCGGCGTTTCGCCCGGTTGGCATGTCGAAGCTCATGGTCGTCAAGCCATGGAGCTCCAAGACGGCGTTCGCTTCCAAGACGAAGCTGGCTGGACCCCACTCGATGCCTTCCCCGCCGCCACACGCCAGGGCAAGCTCGCCGTGCGGCGTTTCAAGCTGCGTCAACGCCAGCAGAGGCAGTCCAAACACTGCCAAAGTTCGCCGGCGCAGCCATCCCTCAGCGCGGCCCTCTCGACGCCGTCACAGCAGCCCATCCCCACCATCGCCGTCGAGCGCGCACCTTCCGAGAGCATGCCCGCTGTCACCGCGCGCTTGGAGGATGTCCGCATGACCGAGGCCCAGCTTCGTCCCGCATCGGACGCGGCGTCGGCGTCATCCTCAACATCGAGCATCACTTCACAGTCTCCACCAGCAGACCCCAGCGCCTCAAACACCTCGTCACCCGCGACCGTTTCGAGTGCTCCCTCGCCACACCCACAAGCTAGTGTCAAAGCAACGCAGCCCGCACCAGGTCGCGAATATGCCCTGTCCGACTTTCACGTCATCGAGACGCTCGGCACCGGCACGTTTGGGCGCGTACTGCTGGTGCGGCTCAAGCATCGGGATGTAGCGGACCGAAGCGCCTACTTTGCACTCAAGGTGCTGGCCAAGGCGGATGTGGTGAGGCTCAAGCAGGTCTCGCACATCAACAGCGAGCGCAGCATCCTCACCAAGGTGGAGCACCCCTTCCTCGTCAACATGGTCGCCTCGTTCCAAGACAGCAAGAACTGCTACATGCTCATGGAGTACGTCGTCGGTGGCGAGATCTTTTCGTACCTCCGACGCGCCCGACAGTTCTCCGCCGACGTGGCACGCTTCTACGTGTCGACGATCGTGCTCGCCATCGAGTACCTGCACAAGCACCGTGTGGTGTATCGCGATCTCAAGCCCGAGAATCTGCTCATCGACACCAACGGCTACACCAAGATCACCGACTTTGGCTTTGCCAAGGAGCTCGAAGACCGCACCTGGACGCTGTGTGGCACGCCCGAGTATCTGGCGCCCGAGATCATCCAGTGCAGCGGCCACGGCACTGCCGTCGACTGGTGGTCGCTCGGCGTGCTGCTCTTCGAGATGCTCGCCGGCTATCCGCCCTTCTACGACCCCAACCCGATCCTGATCTACGAAAAGATCCTTGCTGGCAAGTTGGTCTTCCCCGATCACCTCGACGCGGTCTCGCGCGATCTCATCACGAGCCTCTTGACCGCCGACCGCAGCCGACGTCTGGGCAATCTGCGCGGTGGAGCAGACGATGTGAAGAAGCACCCTTGGTTCTACGGCGTGGACTGGCAGGCGCTCGAGGAGCGCAGGATCCCTCCTCCCATCGTCCCCTATCTGGGAGAGCCGGGCGACACGTCCAACTTTAGCAAGTACGAACCAGCCAGGCCCAGTGCCATGCCCGGTCTCTATGCATCCGACCGCGTCTATCCAGATCCGCATGGCGCACTCTTTCCGGACTTTTGACATCGCCGTACGCTATGCATATGGTCCCACTTTTCCTTCTGTTCTCCTCATGCCTCTCTCTCTCTCTCTCTCTCTCTCTCTCTCTCTCTCTCTCTCTATCGCATCTCGCATTTACTGTACTTTTTCTTTCCATTCTATCGGGCACCTGAGAGCCAGCCCTAGCCAAGAGCAGGCTGGCCTCGCACGCCCTCATACCTTCTATGCGCTACCTTTAATCTATCTTATCCACTCCTGTATGTCGAATTGCCAACGTGTCGCGAGTTTCTCGTCCAGATTTTGACCCGAAGCTGATCGAGGTTCTGTGCAGAAACTGCGACCACGTTTGCATCCACACGGGAACATGGTGAGAGCCTCTGTACCATGTCTACAGCATGAGTTCCTTGATGCAGAACCTCTCTGTGACCTTTGGTCGACAGGCACACACGAGAGCCTGTTCCCATGCGGCGTGTTAAGTTCGAAACGATTTTCATCTTTGTGGAGCAAAGCCGAGAAGAAAGATGCACCTCCACGGGCGAGGACAGAAAAAAGTTCACGGCAGCTGCTGCCACTTGCACCCTTGCCACCACACACGGCGAATCAGCGTACGATCTCAACGCATTCTCGACGCACCTTTGGTTGTCGGGCGGGATCGAGTGTCAAGATGCGCAATCTGTGCGTGCTTTCGCATCGCACCATTGCGCTTTCGCAAGCATCACAGCCGGCGCTGCGAATCGAGGCTACCGCCAGCGATCTCGACGACGGCTCGATATACGCCGTTGCTACATCACGCACAGCGCCGGGTGCACCGGACGTCACGCTTTCTTTCCTGCGCACCGCAGTGGACGGGCAGGGTCTGGAACGGTTCAGCTCGCTGCTCGTGCCGGGTCGTCTGGCGGATTTACCCGACTCGGCTGTTGGCATTGCATCGACGAGTGGACGCAGCAAGAGGGACGTCATCAACCTGCACTATCTGTCCGATGGCGGAGCAGAGGCGAGCCATCGTCCTGCGCTATGCACCATCGCTGCAGGAGGCGATCTGCTCCTCCTCCCTATCCCGGATGCAAGCGAGGCGGCGGATGACGTACCGCCAGCAGAGCCCGTCGTGGTGGGGACGATCGAGCAGGGCATTGCAGCAGCGGCCTGGAGTCCCGACGACGAGCTGCTCGTCATCGTCACGTGCGAGACATCCGAGACCGCCTCGACGTCGGGCGCACGCGAGGTGGAGAAGGTGCTCTTGATGACGCGCGACTTCGAGGTGCTCTCCGAAGTGCGTCTGCGCACCGACGAGTTTGGCGAGGACGAGGCGGTGGATGTCGGCTGGGGCAGCAAGGCGACGCAGTTCCACGGGTCCGAGGGCAAAGCGGCTGCGGCCGCAGCAGCGCAGGCGGCAGCAGCGGCCAAGGCGAGCAACACCGACACGCGCGGCCCAAGGACGCCGGACGACGACGGCGCGCCCCGCATCAGCTGGCGAGGCGACGGCGCCTTCTTCGCAATCAGCTCGCTGGAGCCCTTCTACAGCCCAGACGCACCGACAAGCTGGCATCGGGTGATTCGCATCTACTCGCGCACGGCCGCCCTGTCGGCTACTTCGGACGCGGGCGTGCGCGGCATCTCGCAGGCACTGGCGTTCCGACCCATCGGCAACCTCATCGCCAGCACGCAGCGCTTCGGCGCATCCGACCTCGACGGCCACATGTGGGCGCAGGGGCGAAAGGGTCGTCACGACGTCGTCTTTTTCGAGCGCAACGGTCTGCGTCACGGCGAGTTCAGCCTGCGCGAAGAAGCCGCCTCGCAGCCCGACGGCGTGCAGCTCGCATGGAACGAGGCGCAGAAGCTCAGCGCCTGGACACGCACACATGCGGTGCGCGAGCTCGCATGGAACGCCGACGGATCCGCACTCGCCGTCTGGCTCTCCCGAGCCGGCGAGGGCGACGAGGCGCGCGATGTGGTGCAGGTCTACACCACGGGCAACTACCACTGGTACCTCAAGCAAGAGTTCGTCGCCACCACGCGCGTCGAGCACGTCAAGTGGCACCCCGAGGACCCGCTGCAGCTGCTCGTCGCCCACGCCGGCAGCGTCGCGCACCGCGTCTTTGCACACGAGACGGCCGTGTCGCCCGGGAGGCCGCCAGTGGATGCGGCGTGCGTCGCCGTGGCCGATGGCTCCACTACGCTGCTCACGCCGTTTAGGATGCAGAACGTCCCACCGCCCATGGCGTCGCTGAGCCTGTGCGTGCCTCCTGCCGGCACGGAGGTCAAGCCAAGCGCGGCTTCGGCGCTCGCAGTGCCTACGCACGTCGCCTGGTCCCAGCTCCCAGGCTCGTCGCCGCAACACGCCGTCGGAGTCATGGCTCTGCTCTTCCAAAACGGGTGGGTGCAGGTCTGGCGCTTCGACTGGGGCCTGCTTGGCGGTACGGTCCAGGTCGGCGGTAAGCCCGTGGCCGAGCCCAAGCTCGTGGCTACGGCGCAGGTGGCGGCTTCGGATGCACACCAGATCGCTGTAGCCGGATGGGCACCGACTGTGCTGGATGCGACGCACCAATGCAAGATCTCGGTGGCGGTGCTCAGCTCACATCATCAAGGCGCTGTCGCAGAATGCATTGATCTTGCGCAAGCCAAAGAGGCTGCAACATTCGAGGCCACCGTCCATGCGGGGGTTCCTCTACGGGGCCACGGAAAGAGACGCCTGGTCGCCGACCCCTTCGTGCCGACATCGGCAGTGCCGCCGAGCTTTTACGTCCAAGAGAGCGATGGCACCGTGCAGCGCGTGCGCGGCTCGGCGCTCGAGCGCGTGACCAAGCTCGAGCGCTTCTGTGCGGACGTGCGTGTGTTGGTTGCGGCTGACGGCAAGTGCAAGGTGATTGGTCTGGCGAGCGATGGACGCCTGCTGGCCGAGAGCCAGGTGGTGGCCAGGGACGCCACCTCTTTCACGCTCGTCGGCAGCTTCCTCGTGTGGACCAACACGGCGCACGAAGCTCGCTTTCTGCCGCTCAGCTCTCTGCGCTGGAGCAGCGCCAACGAAGTGCAGGCTGCGGCGTCCGAGGCCGTCGATCTGGGTCGACGTGTGGAGCGCGGCAGTCGGATCGTCACGGCGGTGGCGTCGGCCATGTCGCTCGTGCTGCAGATGCCACGCGGCAATCTCGAGACGATCTATCCGCGCCCGCTCGTGCTCGAGGTGGTGCGCCGCAGCATTGACGCGCATCGCTACGGCGCCGCCTTCCGCATCTGCCGCACCCACCGTCTCGACGTCAACATCCTCTACGACCACAACCCGGCGGGTTTCATGGCCAACGTGGCGACGTTTGTGCAGCAGGTTGCCGACGTAGACCACCTCAACCTCTTCCTCTCGGGCCTGCGCGACCAAGACGTCACCAAGACGCTCTACAAGCCGCTGGCAGCCTCGACGGGCGCGGCCGACGTTGCAGGCAAGGTGAATCGGATCTGCGATGCGATCCGTGCCGAGCTCGAGCGGCTGGATGCACGCAAGTATGTGCAGTCGATCCTCACCACGCACGTGCGCAAGGTGCCCGCGGACTACGAGGCGGGGCTTGCGCTGCTGCTGCGGCTCAAGGACGAGGATGCAGAGACGGCCGAGGAGGCGGTCAAGTACATCATCTTCCTCGCAGATGCGGACAAGCTGTTCGACGTGGCGCTCGGCATGTACGACTTTACGCTCACGCTCATGGTGGCGCAGCATGCCAAGCGCAAGGATCCGCGCGAGTTCCTGCCGTTCTTGCGCGAGCTGCGTGCGCTCGAGCCGCAAGAGTTCCAGCGGTTCCGCATTGACGACCACCTCGCGCGCCACACCAAGGCGTTGGGCTGGCTTGTGCGCGCCGGTCCCCAGCACCACCAGCAGGCACTCGAATACATCGACAAGCACAAGCTGTACCACGAGGCGATTGCGCTGCTTGCGGGCCAAGGCGCCAGGCTGCGCGACGTGTACGACCGCTTCGGAGAGTACCTGCTCACGCGCCGCAAGCTCGACGATGCCGGTGCAGCGTTCCAGCTCGCCGGGCGCGGAGGCAAGGCGCTCGATGCCTACCGCGAGTGTGCGAATTGGCAAGAGGCCATGCGGCTGGCGTTTGTCGAGAAGCTGCCTGCGTCCGAGATCGTCGCAATGGCCAAGGGGTTCGTGAGCGAGCTCGAGACGCTGCGTCGCTTCACCGAGGCGGCGCGCGTGTGCCTCGACTATGTGCGCGATGTCGAGCAGGGCGTGGCTCTGCTATGCCGCGCCGGCGAGTTCTCGGAAGCACACCGCATCCTCACCACCTATTCGCGACTCGACCTCGTCGAAGTTACGCTACACCCGGGCCTGCTCGAGGCGGCGACGACGCTGGTGGACGACGTGCAGGACATGGAGTCGCAGCTGTCCAAGCAGCTGGACCGCATCCGCGATCTGCGCGACAAACGCTCCGCCCACCCGGACGGCGCGCTGTACGACGGCGACAACGACCCGGCGCTCGACAATCTCGACATCATGTCCGATACCTCTACGCAGATGACGCAATTCACGCGCTACACGCGCGCGGCCTCGATCGTGTCGCAGTCGTCCATGGCCACGTTCAGCACCAAGTCCGGCAGCCGCAAGAAGGAGGCCAAGCTGCGCAAGAAGGCCGAACGCCAAAAGGCCGGCGGCAAAAAGGGCACCGTGTTCGAGGAGGACTACCTCTACACCTCGGTCCAGAAGCTCATCAAGGAGCGTCTCGGCGGCGTGCAGGCCGAAGCGGCCAAGCTGCTTCCGCATCTCGTGTGTGCGGCGTCGGGTCAGGTTCGGGCTAGAGCAGGCGAGGTCGTTCAGGCGCTGGATGCGTTGGAGCAAAACGCCCACAAGGCGGTCGAAACGCTTTGGGGCTACAGCCAGCAGGATGACGACGAACGCTTCGACCAGCTCGTCCGCTTCGAACAGGAGCTGCTCGGCGGCCAGGTGGCAGCCAACCCCACCATGGCAGCCGTCGCATTCCGCTCCATCGCCAACCGTCGCATCCCCAGACCAAAGCTCGACGTCGCAGATACAAAGTGGCGCCCCTCGCTGCTGGATTCCTCCCAGCCCTAGCTCTCACTCTGCACTCTTCAATGCATGCTGAAAGAACATCTTTGCTGTGATGGTGTGATTGCCATGCGAGGATCACATTGTGGCGGCGACGGGGTGGACGACGGCATGTTCGTCCAACCAGGCCATGTAGTGGGGCAGGAACTCGTCGGGCAGATCAGTGGCTTCGGCGATGCACTCTGCGTCGGCGATGAGGACGAGCTGACGTTTGGCGCGCGTGATGGCGACGTTGAGGCGTTTCTTTTGCGCCAAGAATCCCACCTGGCGATCGGTATTGCTACGCACCAGGCTGACTACCACCACGTCCTTCTCGCGCCCCTGCATGGAGTCGATGGTGCCGAGTTCGATCTCGTCCGCATTGATGCCGATGAAGCTGTGGCTGCGAATGCGCGCATGCAGCAAAGCCACCTGTGCCGCGTAGGGAGTGAGCACGGTCACCTGCCCCGCACCCACCCCGCGCGCAAACAGCTCCTCCAAATGTCGCACTACCAGCTCCGCCTCGTGCACGTTCGACTTGGAGTCGGCTAGCAGCACCCCCTCGTCCGCGGTGGGGGACGACTCGTACAGCTCGCACCCAGACGTGTCGTATAGCACCACCGGCGCCAACAGATCATCGTCATCAGGTCCGGTATCCGTTTGGACGTTGGAAAGGTCAGAGAGCGTGATGGATGCGCACGAGTCGTGCGCGGATAGCTTGCCCTCGTACAGCTCGGCGTTGGGGAACGACATGATGGCCGTATTCATGCGGTACTGGATCGACAGCAGCGACTTGAGCCCGCTGCCGTACAGCCCCAGCAGCCGCGAAAAGAGCGTCGTCTCCAACGACCGCGCTGGCCGCAGCCGCGTTGGCCGGACATCGTCCATCGAGGCTGCAGCGAGCTTCTGCGCGAGCTCGACGTCGTCATCGCCATCATCGTCGCCGTCTTGCTTTGCCTCCTCAACCGCGGGGTTCGTCGTTGCATCTTCTTTCGAGCGGTCCTCTTTCTCTGATGTATTCGACGCAGATCCACCGGCGTTCTTCTTCCTTGCAGGCTTGCCCTTGGGCCGGTGTGGCTTGACACTCGACTTGACCGTCGGTGGCAGCTGCAGATGGTCACCCGCCAGAACGAGTCTGGCGCCTTCCCTCGCCTTGAGGATGGGGATCCAGCATGCCATCTCGAGCGCCTGGCATGCCTCGTCGATGATGACCCAGTCGAACTGCCTGTTGGCCAGCTGCCTGCCTCCCGCCCCGTGGCATGTGGCAAGCACGATCTGCGCGCGGTCCAACACGCTGCTCGTCACCTGGCGGTCCCTGCGTCTGTACTCCTTCCTGAGCTCGCGCACCTCCTCCCAGCGCTTGCGGCGGTCGCTTCCACGCAGCTTTGGCTTGGCCTTGGCCGACTTGTTGCCCGCCGCAGCGGCCGTGGGCTTGAGCTCGGCCATGATCGTCTCGATCTCCTTGCTGATGTCCTTGACCAGCTGCGCTTCGGCCGACTGCGTACACTGTGCATCCAGCGTCGCGCCCTGCAGGCTCGCCACGACACGCGCAGGGTGGCCCAGCCGCGTGACGCCCACACCCTTCTTCTTGAACACCTCGCGGTGCGCCGCAGACGCCACAAGCCGCTCCAGGATGTTGTCCACCGCCAGGTTCGACGCGCCGCAGACGAGGACGCGCACGCGCCCGGCATCTTCCGACGCACCAAGGTTCGATGCAACGATCTGCATGATCAGCTCGACGATCGCCGTCGTCTTGCCAGTGCCTGGCGGGCCGTGAATGAGCGAAACGTGGTCCGAGGAGAGCGCGTGTCGGATGGCAGCAAGCTGCGTCTCGTTCAGACTCGCGTTGAATGGTGGCAGCGGAACATCCTGCTGGTGCCACGTAGGCGGAGAGAGCCCAAACAAGGCGCGTTGCAATGTGGTGGCATTGCTCGAAGGTCCGGCCTCTACGGTATCCGCCTCATCGGTAGAGGAGTCACCATCGGCGCCCGACGAGGCTGGGCCAAGAGACACTCCTAAAGCCCTGGCGAGCTTGTCGAGCGTCACTTCCATGCGATCGAACGTGGTCTCATTGGCGACCTTGACGAGGCGGATGCGTTCCGGCAGATCGAGTTCGCTGCCAGACACCTTGTTCTTGTCGCCCGTCCGGGCATCTCGCTTATTCTGACCGCCTTCCGGCTCTGGCTTTGGCTTGGGCGTTCGCTGTCGTTCGCTCACCGCCAGAGTGATGCGCGTCTCGGTGACACGATAGACCACCCCCTCAACCACGCCGCTGTCGGTGGTAGCCTGAGGCTCGGCGCTGTTCTCGAGCACGGCAGCCAGATCGCCGGATCGGAAAGAGTGTGGTGGAAAGTTCGGCGACGAATGGTACGCCGACGGTCGCTCGAGCTCGACGAGCAGTTTGGCGCCGACGCCGATGCGGATCGACGCCACGCCGAGCGAGAGCAGCGCAAGGCCGTGCTTTTCGAGGATCTTGGGTGCGGTCTTGGAGAGCAGCAGCTTGGACTGCGCTTGTTCTTCACGCCGCTCGTCGGCGAGCAGCCGCGCCTGTGTCTGGAACCACCGCAGCAGAAGTTCCTGACTCGGTGGCTCCGGCTTGCGCAGCATCGAGCTCATGGTGAGGTGGTCGTCGGTGCCTGCACCGAGCGTTGTGGTCGTAAAGCGACAAGACGTGGGGGCACAAACGAGAACCTTCTCAAATTTCGGCAGAAAGTGGAGGTGAAAGCCTCACGCGACCGCCATCTTGCGGCACGTGCGCGGATAGAAGTCCTGCATCCTCTTGTCACCTCAACGAGCACCCATTGAACGACTGCGCCGTGTGCGATCTCAAAGAACCCATGGTATCTGCACACTTATGAAGCCGGGCTTGCCTCGAGAGAATGAGGTCGATGCCCCACCCAGACAGTTGCAAAGCGACGTTTTGCGAGCGAGTTCTAAATTGCGAGGCGTCTTCAAGGTGAAAGCGTCGATGCCACGGCTAGTCCTTCTTCTTTTCGTCCTTGGATTCGTCCTTCTTGGCGTCGTCCGCGCCGTCCTTGCTCGCAGCGGCGGTGCCGTTGGCCATTGTATTCGAGGCCTCTTCCTCGCCCTTTTCGTTCTCGCGTCGGTTGTTGATGAGGCCGTGTAGCGCGATCACGGCACGGATGAGACTGGAGAGGTACACGACGAGCAGACGGTCGTTGTTGTCCACGGCAAACGACTTGGCGGCCTCGCTGTTCTTGTCGAGGTCCGGCAGCAGGTTAAAGATGTCCTGGAGGTCGTAGATGATCTGGTGGTTGACGGGCAGCTTGCCCTCGACCACTGCCTGGAGATAGTCGCGGATCTCGAGCAGCCTGGATTGCAACCCACGCAGACTGGACAGCTGGCTCGAGACGCGCGTCGAGAGCGTGCCGACGGCTGTTGTGTCGCGGATGTCGCGCAAGAGGTGCTCGACGCCGATCTCCTCGGCCTCCTCGGCCTCGATGGTGCTGGGCACGTGCATGAACGTCTTCTGCGTCGCGGTGCCGTCGTCCTTGATCTCCTCGACGGCGAAATATGCGTCGGTGGGGATGCCCACGTCGCGCTGCCTTGGGTTGACGATCACCATGACGGGCCGCGGGATGAAGCGCTTCATCAACTCGTTGATCTCGAGGTCCGACGAGCGCAGGCGCGGGCCCGTGTGGTACCATCCCACCATCTTCTCGCGCGCGTTGACCTTCTTGAACATCTCCATCATGCCCGTGATGTAGTCGTGGTCGAGGAACCATGTCTTTGCGTCGCGCTCGTCCTCCTCAAATGGAACAGCGAACGAGTTGGCCACATTGATCGTCTTGCCGTTGTCCTGGCCGAGCAGGATGCCGACGACGCGCTTGCGCGATCCGGATGCCGATCGCGATGCATGATCCGTCACTGAAAGCAGCACGAGCGGGTGGACGATGACATTTGTGTTCGAGAGGCCGATGGTCTGCGAGTCCATGCGAGTTTACGAGGAGTGGAGCAGGCCAAGTGTCAGCAAGCGAGATCGTGGCATCCACATCGAGACGCCGATGCGCCTTTGGCCATACTTACCTCTTGTGTTGTGGCAGGCATCGCGGCAGCTGCTGTTCAAACCCTGTCCGTATCTGTGTCCCTTGGAATGGCTCGGTGCGTCCTGCCGATGCGTGTGCTGGTCTTGTAAGCGCCTTTGTTCTAGAATTTGAATGCGGGGTGCAAAGGTGGCAGAGGTGGATGAGGTTGGAGGTGCCAAGTGGAGTTGGTTTGGTGTTGGAGTCCTCTTGGCCGCCTCTCGAGGCGCTGACACTCCACTTCCAAGGCGACGCGCATTGCCCGATCACACGCGCAGAGGAGCGACCGAAATCCGAGCCTGAAAGTGTGATGTTTTTCGGGTCTCGGAATAGTGTTAATTCCCAGTCTTCCTCCACTTTTCAGCGCCCGGAGAGTCAATCTTCCACCTTCGACCTCACGTACTGGCTAGGAACGGCGGCGAGAGTCTCTCTTGACCTCCAACAGCAGCAGCAACGACCGTCGCATTACAAGTTGATTAGCCAATGTCGCTCTTGTGGTCTGCTCCGGCCGCATGCTCACCGCGTTTGTCGGCGAGCTGTCTCAACGCCGTACAGGGCAGCGCATGTACCGCAAGTTTCTTGTGCCACGCAAGAAGCTTTCGCGCGAATAGGCGGTCGTGTTCTCTCGCCTCGGCATCGCAGGAGTGCTCCCAGGGTCCGCATGCACTCACCAGACAGCTGGCCCAAGAGCTCAGTCTTCCCCTCTTCCCGGCGTCAGGTAAGCAGCTCCATCTCTTGCAAGATCCGTCGCACTTCTACGAGACACTCAAACGCAAGATCGGGCAAGCTCGCAGCCGAATCTTCCTCGCCTCGCTCTATATCGGCAAAGAAGAGGTCGAGCTGGTCCAGGCGCTTGAACAGGCATTGCGACGGAATCCATCACTACAACTCACGATTCTCGTCGATGCGCTCCGTGGGACGCGGGAGGCAGCACCAACACCGTCATGTGCCAGCCTCGTATCGAAGCTGCATGCCCAGTTCCCAGACCGCGTCAACATCCGCCTGTATCACACGCCGAATCTCAAAGGACTCCTGAAGAGGATCGTGGGCAAGCGTTTCAACGAGGGCTGGGGTCTGCAACACATGAAGATCTACGGCTTCGACGACGATGTCGTGCTCAGCGGCGCAAATCTCAGTCGAGACTACTTTACCAACCGCCGCGACAGGTATCTTCTCGTCGAGGATCACAAGGACGTGGCAGACTATCTGGATTCGCTCGTACGCGTTGTGGGTCAGTTCAGCTTCAAGCTCGAGTCAAGTCCTCAGGAGGCGGGCTCGAGCGCTGAGGCTGCGCAGCCAGATTGGAAGCTCGTCTGGGATGGAGGACGGGACTGTCTCAACCCGGAAGGTCAGGGAGTGCCAGCATCGTATGCAGAGAATGGCTGGAGTGGAGAAGCGTCCAAGTCGCTCGAGACATTCACCCGTAGATGGCAGCATCGCACGGCGAACACGATCGGTGGAGATAGCGACGCAGCCGACACCTTGCTTTTGCCGCTGCTCCAGATGGGACCGCTGCAGATCAGGCAAGAAACCCAGGCCATTCCGCGGCTGCTGGAGGTCGGATTGCAGGCGTCCGATCCAGAGAAGCAACCAGCTACGCTGGCGCTTACCTCTGGATACTTTTCGCTCTACAAGCCGTACCGCAAGCTGCTGCTGCGAACGCAAGCGGCGGGGACTGCCATCGTCAAGATCATCTGCGCCTCTCCGGAGGCGAACGGCTTCTTTCAATCCAAGGGCGTGTCGGGCTGGATTCCCGATGGATACACTTGGTACGAGTACCAATTCTGGACAGCGCTCAAGCGCGCCAAGCGGCTGCTGGGGCAAAACAATAGGCCACACGATCAGGGCGGCGTAGAGATTCTGGAGTGGAAGAAGGAGGGATGGACCTACCACGCCAAAGGCATATGGCTTACGCCGTCCGATGCCACCTTCGAGACGGATCTCGCCAAGCCAGCGTCATCAGCCACGGCTGATGTGGCTGCACCGACGCTGGTGCATGTGGGATCGAGCAACTACGGATCTCGCTCGGCGGATCTGGATCTGGAGTGCACATTCATGATCTCGACCAGCTCCAGGGATCTGTCGCTGCGCTTCAAGGACGAGTTTGAGACGCTGAGGCGCGACGCCAACGACGTCGTGAACGCCGAGCTGTTCCAACGACCCGATCGAAAAGTGCGCTGGCGCGTACGCGTGGCTGCGTGGATCCTGCGACGTATGCTCTGATGCTCAGCCGCTTTCGCCCTAGATGAGAAGCATGTGTGTAACGTAGACTCAGCGTGCAATGCTCATGATACCCATCGATTCCACAGCCAACAGCCGCCTGCAATGCTACACTTTGAGCAAGGTGTGGTCCGAGCCGGAGCGATGAAAAAATTCGGATCTCGGATTTTGAGCCGGAAAGTTGGTGGAAGAACTGAAGTGGCGAGCATTGGCGAGTCACGATAACGCTGAGACAGATTCGCATCTTTGCAGTGCACCACCAAATCGACCCACCCATCGAACCGAAAGAGCAACATGGCGTCGGCAAGCCAGGCAGGATCGTTTCAAGCGCGAAGCGCGACCGTGTCGCGCGTGACCAACGAGACCAAGATCGAGGTTTCGCTCTCGCTTGATACGCACCCGACGTTTGCGCCGCAGACGATCAACGTCAAGACGGGCATCGGCTTTCTCGACCACGTAAGTCGCGTTGATCTGGCTCTGAGCGAGCTTTGTTTTGCTGCCGACGCTGATCTGGATGGTTGTTTGCGTGCCTGTTGGGGCGGACATAGATGCTGCATGCGCTGGCCAAGCACGGAGGCATGTCATTGACGCTGGCGTGTGAGGGCGATCTTTGGATCGACGACCACCACACTGCGGAGGACTGTGCACTTGCACTGGGTGCTGCGTTCAAGAAGGCGCTTGGACCCGTCAAGGGCATCAAGCGCTACGGCACGGGGCATGCGCCGCTGGACGAGGCGCTGAGCCGTGCGGTGATCGACATCAGCTCGCGCCCCTACTGCGTCGCCGAGCTCGGGCTGAAGCGCGAAAAGATCGGCGACCTGAGCTGCGAGATGATCCCGCACGTCTTCCACAGCTTCGCCATGGAGGCGGGCGTCACGCTGCACGTCGACTGCCTGCGCGGCGACAACGACCACCACCGCTCCGAATCGGCATTCAAGGCTCTTGCGCTCGCCATCAAGGAGGCCATCTCCAGGACAGGCACCGACGATGTTCCCAGCACCAAGGGTACGTACATTGCCAGCTCGCTAATCAGACTTCCGGGAATTGAAACGCAAAGACTGACCTTTGTCTTCTTGCCTTTCGCCTTGACTTTTGTGTTTGTCTCGCACAGGTGTTCTCTGAGCATGCTGTTTCGGCCATCCTTGCAGGTGCATCTTCACTGTCTCTCGAATTTGACCTATTTTTTGCCATCGCAACATCTCGTACACTGCTTGCACTCGAATGTTGGTCCTGGCAGCGCACACGGCTGGCCGAGACCTCCATCGCCATGGGCGCAAGGTTGGGACCATGCTGCATTCTGATCATGATGGCCATCGACGTCACTCGTCACGTCGGTCCCGCACAGACCGTTGCAGCTCGCTCTACTCTGCACCGCCTCTCGCTCCCTCTGCTCACTCTGCAGCATGATGTCACGTGTCTTGACGTTTCTGTCATGGAGGCGAATGGTGTAGAGATTGGCTGGACGTTGTTGGGCGCCTGCGAGGAAACGCCGCCCGTTCGCGACGCCCAGATCGAGCCCCGCCAGCCACAAAGCCTTGCGGACGAGTGCGCGATCTCACCCTTATCACGGATCGTGGGAATGTGCCGGTGCAGCTGCGACGACAGGCACGCCGAGTCGGGGGCTCTGCATGCATCTCGTTGGAGGCAAAATGGCGATCCGAGCTTATTTTGACGAGCCGGTTGCTGTTATTCTCCCCTGCCTGACCGGCTTTCCCGAGCGGCTTGAGCGTGCTTTTCGCAGGCCCAAAGCTGACGGGGAGCGGCCAAAGCTTTGTCGCTTGCTCAGCTGCAGCTGCGCCCGGCGGAAATGCAGAGGGTTGCGCGCGCTGACGGGAGAAACAACGGGCGCCGTCGAAAGATTTCAGAGACGCGTTTGGCTTTTGTGGAGGAGTCCGCGCGTGCTGCACAGCTCGCATCCTCTTTTCCGCACCCCTCCAATCCTCCTCCTCCCGCCTTTGACCACACCCATCCACCTCAGCTTGCCTCTGTTCCTTCGCCTTTCCCAAGCCACCTTATCTCCTCCTTCTGACAATTCATCCGCTGCAGCATCGCATCCGCACCAATCCCACGCGCCGACGGAAGCCGCACAACAACACCTTATCGTCCTCGTTGCGACGCGTCTCTCTGCGTCCTCCAGCCACACATCTTGCTGCTCTCGAGCCTCTTGATATCGGCCTGATCCGCCTCGCCCTTTCTCAGTCCCTCCGCACGATCGTCCATCGCACATCCACTACTACCATGGCCTCGCCTGTCCCGCATACAAATACGGCCAGGGCTCCGTTGGCCGAACTCCCGCTCCACCAATTCGTATCGCAGTCTCTTGCTGCTTCGCCAACATCCAACTCCGAGAAGCTCCTCAAGACACCCTCGCGTTCGCGGTCTCGCTCGCCGTCTCTGTCGCGCAGCCGCAGAGGCTCGCTTTCCGTCTCACCGCACAAGCAAGCCGTGCTGCAGAACCATCGGCTCGTTCGCGAAGGCTCAGTTGCGTCACCATCGAGCTCGTCCAGTCCATCCGAACCGATGGCGGACACAGACGTGTCACTTCGCCCTCGCCGTCTTTTCGAGTCTTCCGGGCAGGCCGGTCTCGACCTCGAGGCCAGCCCGGTCTTAGCGGCGGCCACCTCGGCAGGATCGCGGTTTTCGCCTCGCAACGTCGGGAATCTGGTGCACCACTCTCCCGGCCGCCCATCCACTCCAAAGGGCGCCTCAACAACACCGCTCAACACGAGGCACCATCGTCCTCCTCACACCTCGGGTCCGAAGCCGGACAAGTTTGTTGAGCCAAGCCCCACGACGCAGCGCGTGTCCGAGCCCAGGCTGCCTGCCACTCGTCGACGCGACCAGGACGCGGCGGCTGCCACCTCCACGCCTTCCCGCACGCGCATCCGTCAATTGAGCGCCGCGGCCGAGACACAGACGGAGATGGCCGCGGCAGGTGCCACGACTCCTGTCGAAGACCCGATTCAAGCAGCTTCGAGCGCGGTTCTGCAGAGCTTGCCCAAGAAGAAGCACCGCGTTTCGCGCACCGAGGTCGCCATCGCACACGAAGAGGCGGGTGCGGGCCCCATGGCGAGCCCCAGCCCGCGCAAGATGACCGACTACTTTTCGCCGTCGCAAGACGAGCCGGGCGCTTCCGTATCGGGGCTCGCCCTCAGCCGTCGTCGGGCCGACTCGATCACGCTCGACGCGGCGGCCGTCGCATCGCTGCCGAGCCTGGCTGGACTAGGCACCAAGACGTCCGCCAATGGGTTGGCTCTGGCGCAGTCGGGCCTTTTCCTCGGCCTCGTCGCACGTCCGCTGCCAGGGTGGACGGTGTACGAAGACGCGAGCCCGGACGCGCTGGCGAGCCAAGACACGGCGCCGTCTCAGGACCATGCTGCGAGCGAATCGGACGCCTTGAGCGCTGCGTCGAGCCCGATGTCGAGCCCGGCTCGCAACGCGCCATCCACGCCGAACAAGGAGAATCGGCGGCCGGATGCGAGCCTGCTGGCGTCCATGGTGGTGCCCATGGCGCTGCCGGACCGCGCGTACAGTGTGGATATCCTGCCGGCCAAGACGGGCGCTGCGTCGAGGAAGCGGGGCACGGGCGGCCGTTTGAGTCTGCTGGCCGACGCCGAGGATGGTGATGCGGCCAAAGAAGCGCTGCAGCAGGATGGCGAGGACGGCGACAACTCGGCACTGTCCGGATGGGGCAAGAAGCCCAAATCCAGAGTTCATCATGGTTCCGCTGCTGGCACACCGGCGTCAGGCACTCGCAAGGCCTCGGCGCACCAGCGCAAAGCTTCGGCCGGTAGCCGCAAGGCCTCGAGCACACATGGAGTCGATGCAGCCGTGTCGGTGGATGCAGTTGCCTCGCGAACCCGATCGCGCACGCGCGCCTGATCCCGCGCCCCTCTTTGTAGTCCCTTCTCCCAGCATGACTCGGCTCGGCTCTGTTGCGTTTCGTTTCTGCTAGCTCTGTCAGTCTTTTTCGCTCGCATATCTGCTCCTCGCTGTATTGTAGTGTCCTTAGCGCCCCTTCACAATTCTATCTGCATTGGCTATGTCGGAGCTTGTCGCGCTGGAGTCGGGTGAATTTGCGGTGAATTTCGCGGGGCTGGACGGGGGGTGGACCGGCGGGTGGTGTTGCAAGCCAAGAGAGCTGTCGAGATGTGGAGCTTGCGTGCTGACTGCGCACCACCATTTCGAGAATGTCTGGGGCTGGCGCAGTGTCGTCGCTTAGGCTGGTTCGGCAGCTGTGGGAGCACGCTGGGCTGCCTACACTGGTGTTGGAGAAGACGATCCGCCAGGGAGGGCTCGAGCTCGTTCACGATCCGGGCGTTCATGGTCAGGCCGTGCGGTCGTCGTTTCAAATCACCGCCGTAGCTCAAGCATGTACAGCCACGATTGCGCTTGCAGCACAGTATTACAAGAGGCTACTCGAGGCTCGAACCAAGCTCGGGGTGGAGGAGAAGGATGTGGTGCTGGGACCTGTTTCGGTGGACGCACGACACGCAGTGGCCGAGTGGAAAGGATGGACTCGAATCTACCTCGACAAAGGTGCAACAGGTGTTGGTGTAGGGGAGATGCTTCGTGGTTCGATCGCAAGCGATAGTGACGAAGCGAAGCAGGTGTTGGGGATCGATGCGCACGCTGTTGCGGATTGGGACAGCCTCGCTGGTCTCTACCGAACCCGGCCAGCCGAGGCGAGGGAGGTACCAGGAGTCGTGCGCATCCACACCAACTTTCCACACCACAAGCTCGGCATCCTACAGCTACTAGGTCTTGTTCCCGACAGCAAGCACTGGACGGACCCGGACATCCACGAGGTGTTTGCGCAGTTCCACCGCTCACATCTGCAGGAGCAGCTCGATGGTTGGGATGCATTCGAGTTTGAGCGCCGTGCTCACGAACGCGGGCTCTGCGTCACCGCCTACCGCACACTGTCCGAGTGGGAGCAGTCTCCCATGGGAGAAGCGGTACGAGGGTGGATCGGCGAGAATGGCGGATCGCCATTTCGCATGTCGCGCCTCACCGCCTCTACTAGCCATACGCCGCGAGCACATACTGCGACGGAGCGACTGAGGGTGATCGACATGTCTCGTGTGATCGCCGGACCCGTCTCCACGCGCACGCTCGCTGCACATGGCGCCGAGGTGCTGCTGATCTCGAGCGCCGCACTGCCCAACCTGCCTTTGCGCGAGCTCGACACGGCGCGCGGCAAGCGCACTGCCTTTGTCCACCTGGGACGCGGAGAAAAGCTGCCGCGCACGATGCGACGGCTCGTCGAAGGTGCCGATGTCGTTTCGCAGGCGTATCGGCCAGGAGGGCTGGTGGAACGCGGACTGGGCCCCAAGGAGGTGCAGGCGCTGCGGCCGGGGGTGGTGTACGCCGAGCTGTGCGCGTTCGGCTTCACGGGGCCATGGGCCGCCACGCGTGCCTACGACTCGCTCACTCAGACCGCGTGCGGCATGAACCATCTCGAAGGCCGCAGCTACTGCGAGCATACCGGCAAGCACGAGGTGGAGCCAAAAGCGCTGCCAGTACAGGCACTCGACTATGCAGCCGGCTCGCTCCTGTGTCTCGCCACGCTCGCCGCAAAGTGCCGCGGCGTACTCGAGCAGATGCACGCCACGGGCGAGGGCGAGGGCGACCAGCAGCAGGGTTGGCATGTTCAGGTGAGCCTCGCCTCGACGGCCGAGTGGATCAAGAGTCTCGGCCAGGTGCATGGGGAAGCAGCGTGGGAGACACCGCCGGACCACGTGCTGCCCGTCGACACCGACCAGCTGGCGGCCATGACGAGCAGCTACCGTGTACGAGGGCTCAAGTCAGACGCCCAAGACTGCGAGCGCCAAGATGTGTTTGTGCTCGCCATCCGACACGCAGCCATTAGCGCGCCAGACTCGGGCGGCGAAAACGAGGATGAGATGCGCTGGAGCGTGCCAGCCCATCTGGGCGTAGACACTCTCCGATGGTGAACGACAGCAGATCAATAAGACTCACGATTCCGACTGGTACGAAGTGTTGGCGGGCCGTCACGAGGGTGAGCATTGTATCTCGGCTGCGGCATACGGATGGCGGGGGGGGAGCGGCTGACGGGAACCGCTGGGCGCCGCTGCACCAAGTTACCGCCCACGCGCCCAGCCACAGCTCAACATGAGTCGCGTACTGTAGAGGCAGAGCCAGCAGCAGGCGTAGGCTCGTGAAAGGAAACGGCGCGCTGGGGCTCAACCTCTTTTTTCAACGAAAAAGCCGCCGAGAACTCTGGGCCGCGGTGGAAAGCAGAGTCGATTGTGGAGGCGCCGAGTAGGTTCAGTTTGATGCACGGCCCGAGCGCAATACGAAGAGCGACCCACGCATCTGGCTCGACGCGGCCATGACATCGCGCCCAAGCTCGGATGGCGTCGAGATGGTCATGGCGGCTGTCCAAGCGACCTGCGTTGACGTCAGGAACACGCTACATGCAAGCGAGTGAGCCATTCTCCCCACATCGGAATCCGCAATGGTGCGGAGAGGCGAGGATGAGGATGGGTCCGGTGCGGGGAATTTTTGGGTTGCTGCGTGCCTGGTCAACGTCAGCGTGCGAGAAGTGTTGCCCATTGTCTTGTGCTCTGATCAAGTCGGCTGCTGATGGCAAAGGCATGCCATGCCAACCAGTGTCTAGGAGCCGCGGAAGGCAAGGCAAGGCCTCCGCTTCTGCAGATCCTCCACCCCTGCTGAGCGAGGCCAAATTTCGCATTTCCCCACTTCTTGTCCGTCGCAGCGTGGAGCCGCAGAGGCAGCGGCGGCCGATGATTTTATAGCGTGAAATGGGACGGCCCTCGACTGTATGCACGAGCTGCATTTCCCGTGATCTTTCGACCTCGCTCGCTCGCTCGCTCGCCTCCTGTCTCGCTGCACTTGGAGGCGCCTCTGCTGCCCGGCCTGTGCTCCACCTCATCCTCCCTGGCTCTCCCAAATTTCACTTGCACCTTCCCCTTCATTCCGCTTCCGCTCTCGAACACCCACCCACACCTCCTTCTTCCCGCCTTCGAACATCTGCTCCGTCTCCACCGTACTTGTCGAGGCTGCGTGCGAGTCCAACGCTGTCCAGTGTCCAAAGACACTTGTAGAACCCACCCACCTCTGTACAAGGATCTAGCTGGCCTCCAGCATTCACCATCATGGGCGGCAACAGCGACCGCAAGTCGTCGCGCCCGCAGCGCGGCTTCCCCGTCGACAACCGCAAGATCGACGAGCTGGACGTGGTGCACTCCGGATGGATCCTCAAGAAGAAGCGCAAGAAGATGCAGGGCTATGCCAAGCGCTTCCTCGTGCTCACCAACGAGGGCATCCTCACCTACTCCATCAGCCCGGACAAGCCCACGCGCGACGCCATCGAGATCCCCCACGCCTCCGTCACCAGCTCCAAGCGTCACGGCACCATCCACGTCGACTCGGGCTCCAGCGTCTTCCACCTCAAGGCGCTCTCGCCCCAGGACTTTGAAGCCTGGCGCACCCACCTCCGCTCCTTCATCCCCGAGCGCCCCTCGGGCAGCCTCCAGCGTCTCTACGTCTCCAACGGCAACGACCTCCAGCCCGTCGACCTCTCCCACGTATTCACCCACCTCGACCAGACCTCGGCGCTCGTCAAGGACCTCGAGAGCCGCTCGGGCGCACTCAAGAACAAGGCCTCCTCCCGCACCACCACCGACGCCATCATGGGCGCGCTCGGCGCCAAGTCCGACAACACCGACGACCTCGCCGCCTTCCACGTGACCGCCGAGCAGCTCGTCGCCGAGTTCGACCAGCTGCGCGCCGCGATCGAGTCCAACATCCCGCGCGTCGACCCCAACGGAGGCACCATGCGCTCCATGTCGAGCCTCGGCGGCGGCGTGGGCCAGGGCCGCAGTCGCAGCAGCCGCATGTCCATCTCCTCGCTCGCCACCACCGGCACCGACTCGGCCATCTTCTACGACGCCGACAGCCACGGAGAGGAGCTCTTCATGGACGACGACACCAAGGCCGACGACGACACCAACCTCTCGCGCTCCGAGAGCAGCGAGGCCGACGGCACCGACAGCGAGGCCGACGACTCGCAGCCCGACACCGACGACACGCGCACCGTCTCGGACGGCGACAGCCAGAGCGGCGGCGGCGGCGGCGGCGGCAAGGCGGTGGTACAGTACCGCAAGAAGCTGCCGGCCAAGGTGTCGGGCGACGAGGTGTCGCTGTTCAGCATGCTCAAGAAGAACGTCGGCAAGGATCTGTCGACGATCAGCTTCCCCGTCTCGTTCAACTGTCCGCTCTCGCTGCTGCAGGCGGCGGCGGAGGAGTACGAGTATGCGGCCGACCTGCTGGAGCGCGCGGGCAAGAGCGACGACTGGCAGGAGCGCATGTGCCTCGTGAGCGCGTTTGCCGTGTCGGGCTATGCCAGCACCAAGCTGCGCGCGAGCCGCAAGCCGTTCAACCCGCTGCTGGGCGAGACGTTTGAGTGTGTGCGCGACGACAAGCATCTGCGCTTCTTGGCCGAGAAGGNGCCGTTCAACCCGCTGCTGGGCGAGACGTTTGAGTGTGTGCGCGACGACAAGCATCTGCGCTTCTTGGCCGAGAAGGTGGTGCATCAGCCGCCCATCGTCGCCTTCTACGCCGAGGGCAAGGGCTGGAAGGCGCAGGGCTGGAGTGCGGTCAAGAACAAGTTCTGGGGCAAGTCGCTCGAGCTCATCCCCGAGGGCTCCATCCGCCTCGAGTTTGGCGATGGCGATGTGTTTAGCATTTCCAAGCCGAGCTCGTTCATGCGCAACCTGCTTGCGGGCAACAAGTATCTCGAGCACGTCGGCGAGCTTACCGTCACCAACGAGACCACGGGTCAGCGTGCCGTGATGGAGTTCAAGGAGGGCACCATGTGGGGTGGAGCAGGCAGCCGCAACGGCGTAGAGGGCAAGGTGTACGATGCCAACGACTCGCACGTTACGGGGCTCAAGGGCAAATGGTCCGAAAACCTGGCGCGTCAGAAGGACAAGGACAACTACCAGGTGCTGTGGGAGGCGGCCGAAATGCCGCCCTACGCAGAAGACTACTATGGCTTCACCTACTTTGCCATGTCGCTCAACGAGCTCAGTGACGACTGCAAGGACCTTGTGCCGCCGACCGACTCGCGTCTGCGTCCCGACCAGCGCGCATTCGAAGAGGGCGACGTGGACCAGGCCGAACAGCTCAAACACAAACTCGAAGAGGCCCAGCGCGCCAGGAGGAAGAAGATCGAGGCCGACGGAAACAGTCACACCCCCAAGTGGTTCCACAAGCACGACGGCGACTGGCTCTACGGCGGCCAAGACGGCGCCGACTACTTCAAGACCCGCAAGAGCGGCGCCTGGAAAGACGCCCAACTGCCCAACATCTTTGACGTGTAAAACTTCCATCTTCCTCGAATCCACATCTTTATTGTCAGCTTTCCCAGGTCTCGGTTCTTTCGCTTTCGCAATTCAAGTGTCTACCAATCCACGGCCTCGCTGCCACAAAGGTTGAAAGCTTCTTTGACCATTCCCGACAAGTCTCACACCGAAGCTCTGTGTGAGCTCCGGTCCAGACAAGAGCTTGACCAACAGGCTCGTCTGTCACCGCCTAGCGTCTTTCCGATGTGCCAGAAAATCGCGCACCTTGTGGCGTGGCGTGGCGTTTGGGTGCTCTAGATGAGCCCGATGGAGCATACGCAGCGGAACCTGTACGACAGCCCGGGACGCCCCGAGGCGAGATCGCCATTCTCCAAATGCACGGTTCCGAGCAGCGAGCTAGATTTCCAGCCCCACGACTGGGACACGGTGAACCTGTCCGGGCCGCTGCTGAACTTGGTCAGGGCTGTGCCGAGGGGGCTTGGACAGTGGATGCTGAAGTACGCGCGCAGCTCGATTCGCGGGTCGCGATAGGGAACCGGCGGCAGCGGACAGGTTTGGTAGACCGATGGCCCACCAGCGTATAGCTCAACGATGGGCGGACGCGCTGCACCACCGCCCGCTTGCGTTCCAGTCGAGTGGCGCGAACGCGATTCATCCCCGCCCGCACCTCCAGCCGGCGATGAACCAGCACCGGCAGCAGTAGTATCGCGCGTGAGGCTCGCGCCAAACTCACCCAGCGAAGACAGCGAAGCTAGCGAGCCGCCCTCGGTCGACAACCTCGAGCCTTCGGCCTCGGCACTGGCAAATGGATCGAGCAGGCTGTTGCGCATCGGAGAGCCGGCACTGTTGCCTCCCAGCCGAGTCAGCGTCCTTCCGCTCGGCAGCGTGAGCGTGCTGCCCGCGCCGGCTGCATAACCAGTGCCACCCACCCGAATGGGCGATGTGAGGCTGGTGTCGACGAAGCTGCTGCCCCCCTCGCCAACCAGACTTTCGTCGCCGAACGCCACCCCAAACACCGAGCCCCTCGTCGACTGATGCACCGACCGTTGACCCGGCGCCGCTCCCTGTTCTCTGGACGGCGTTCCGTGCGGCTCGCCACGCTGCGTCGATCGAGCGCCTCCCGGCGCACCAGGCCACGCTGTCTCCGTCGCCAGTCCGGGCGTCGTTTCTCCTTCCTCGGGCGTGGGCGCCGACGGCGGCGGCAACTGCTCCGTCAAGCTCTGGCGGTGCAGATAGATGCCCAGCTGGATGCCCTTGGCCTTCTTGACCACCTGGATGTACAGATTCCACACGCTGCCCGCATAGAAAAACGTGGGCGAGTACAGCCGCTGCTTCTCCTGCAGCTTGTCAATGCCAAAGAACTCGACGCCGACGCGCATCGGCTCGTATCCGCTCCACCGCTGCGGCGACACGTCGGCCGAGCCGTGCGAGTCGGCATCCGCTCCTTCGGCGTCTTGGTTCGGATCGTGCAGGTGCGAGCTGAACTCGCCGCCGGCCGAATCGAAAGCGTCGCGCTCGTCGACGTGGCGCGAGGCGGCGCGCGACGACGAGTCTGGCACCGCCGGCAGGTGGCGATAGGCATATTCGCCGAGCTCGCGGCCCGTGGCAACGTCGTTGGCGATGCCATAGTAGTGCGAGCGATGGCGGCGTTGGTGCAAAGTGTTGTTGATATCCTGGTGCATCACGCCCGGGATGGGCAGCGTATGAGGGATCTGCATCGCCGCCGTGCCCGAAGGCCCATTCGGATCGCTCTCAAAGGCATGGCTCTTGCCCTTGCGTTCGTCATCCGAGTCGCGCGCCTTGGTCGAGTTCGCAGATCCACCCGTCGTCACGCCGATCACTGACGCCAGACTGTCGCCGAAGCGCACGGTGTCGTCCGACGGCACGAGGTAGAATCGCTTGTTGAGCAGGCCCGCCGTGCCGCCGCCGAGAATGCCAGACATCAGAGGGCTGGAGCCCAGCCCGCCAAGCGCAGCAGACGAGCCGGAGTGCAGAGAGCCGTCGGGATTGATGGACAGGTTCATGGGAGTGCCCGAGCGACTGCGCGAAAAGCGGTGCTGCGAGCCGGTGGATTGGATCGTCGACTGGAAGGCGTCTCTGAATTGGTGAATGGAGCTGGACACGCCGAGCGCGTTCAGATGGTCCCAATCTTCGGCCTCTTCGTCTACGGGCCCCGAATCCGCGCCTGCTTCGTTGCCTGGCTCGACTTCCTGGTTCGAGGCCGCAGTGTTCTTGCCACCTGCGGGTGCGCTGTTGAGAACCTGGGTTCGCAGCTCGTTGCTCACCCACAGAGCAGCTTGGAGCACGTTGAGCGGAGTGTATGGGCGGCCGGTGGTGGGCGAGATGTCGGCGCTGATCTTGTTGAGTGCCTGGAACGGCATGTGCGAGTAGTAGATTCCCGTGGAGAAGAGCTCTTCGTACTCGGCCTCGTCGTCGTCCAGGGATGCGGAGAAGGTGGTGGACTCGACGCCGTCATCCCACGCTTCTTGCAGCGGCGTACTGGCCTCTTCCTGCTCGTCGTCTGCTCCGATCGAAGGGGCCCTCCGGAAGGCCTTGAAGCCGAATCCATCGCCTGCATCCGAGGAGGACGCGTTGGAGGACGAAGCTTTCGGGGCTCCTCCCATCTTTTTGCTCGAGTCAGGCGTCTCATTGTCGGCTGGGGCGGTCAAGTGCTGGTCTTGGCGCAGCCAGTCCTCGATGAGACGGTCGAGGACGTTGATGAGCGCCTTTTGCTTGCGGCGGAACTCGACTACCTTCTTTGCGAATTCGTACCTGTGCAGCTCGGACGGCACAAAGAAGCCGTCGGACGAGATCATGGCGCGGACCCAGGAGCTGGGCATGGACGGATAGGACCACACGCGCAGCCTTGGAGATGGCAGACGCTCGTCCGGATCAGGCATGCGGCCGCGGGCCAGCATGGAAGTGTGGAGCAGGTCGACATCGCCGGTGTGCAGCCGGTCGCGCAGCAGAGTGAGTCGGGCAAGATCGCGGTCCTCACGACACATGCGGATCCACGTCTCGATCTCGACGACGCGCTCGCGCTCCATGGAGCACTCGAGCTCAAAGATGTCGTACCCCCAGCGAGCAAACCAGCAGACGCAGGCCTCGCCGATCTTGTCGGCGGTGATGCCGTAGTTGAACTCGGGGAGCAGACCGCCTGGGGCGCGTTGCGGAGGTGAGGACTCGCAATCGCGGAAGCCGGGCGTCTTCTTTCCTTTGCTCTTGTGTTCGCGGCCTGAAGGCGGCGGTGGAGGGCTGAGACCGTGCACCGGCTGGGATGCTCGGCGATCGTGCTGACCAGGCGCGTTGGCGTGGGGAGGCGTGGAAGCGTGTTTGGAAGAGGGCGACTGAGGGGAGACGTGCATTCGCCGGTCGAGGTCGGCGGCCAAGTCGTCGGAGACGCTATTGGCACGTTCGTGGACGCCGGATGTGCGCGGGTGTCGGGAAGAAGAGCTGAAGGAAGGATCGAATCGGGCGAGCTCGTCGAGGGTGCGAGCGGGGCCTTCGAGCTCCCAGTCCCACTCGTCGAGATCGTGAAGCATGACGTCGGAAGCGGAGCGGTGGAGGTCGGTGCCTTCGATGCCGCGGCCGATGGCGAAGCGGAGGTAGTGTATAATGGTGAAGGGCGTCACTGAGCACAGGACGAGGGTAAGCGCCTGCGAGGTCACGCTTGGGATATTGAGATAGATCGAGGTTGCGAGGAGGGAGAGCAGGAAGCGAGGCGTGGCTGGATGGGAGTGTCTGTCGATGACGAGGTTGGGGAGCTGCAGGTCGGAGCAGTTGGAGAGACGCATGGTGAGCGCTGGTGAGAAGGGATGGTCGGAGGACGGCGTTGCCCAAAAGGGGAGCACCAGTTTGGGACCATCGCCGTAGAGACGCGCGACGCAGTACTCGAAAGCGGCCCTGCTTATGTTGGGGTCGTCGAAATGGAGCTCGACGACGTCGCTGTCGGGATCCCTGTGGAGCGACGACGAGGATGGCGGCTGTGGACCGTGCTGGCTGTTCCTCCGGCTGAGTGAAGCGGCGACGGAAGCGGCAGCGAGATCCTCTGCATATCCTCCGCACAGCATGGCGCGAAAGAAGCCGGACTGGATGAGGACGAGTCGATGGAGGTGATAGAGGCGACCGAATGCTCTGATGCGGATGTCGGAGCATCGGCCGCCGAGCAGACCGAGTTCGTAGATGTGGCTCTGCATGGTGTCCAACACTGTCGATGCCGTCCGAGTGCAAAAAGGACGGTGACAGTGTGGATGTGGATGTGGATGATGGTGGGCGTGTGGATGATAAAGAGGTGACGGCGCATTCAATCGACTGCATATACTCGCCCACCTCTGCCTGCCTGGAGAGGGACACAAGTGTTGGGCTTGGGCTTGGACCTCGCCTCCACCGAAAGCGGCCGAGTCTTGAAACTGGGCCAGGCGAGACGCGGGTGCGGACGCGGACGCGTGAGAGCGAGTCGCAGCTCAACAGCTCAGTCCGCCGCAACAGATCGGATTTTGGAAATTGGGCGCCGGGCCGCCTTGCCCTGGATCAGACGGATCCTCTGCAGTGAAGCGCCGATGCACGTCGATGCAGGGTCCTCGCTGCAACAGCCGCCAATCCGTCACCCGCCCGCCCAGCACCTTCATTTCACAAAGCAGCTCAGGCACAGCTCAACCTTGTCCGCCAATGCCTTCTCGATTGCAGCTGTACATATGATAGCAGCAAAGGTCGAGCCGCACGCTCGGAGATGGCAGACGCCAAGCTGGGAAAAGAAGACAGAATCGAAGCAATGCTCGTCCGATAGTCGGCCTGGACCGCCAATCCCGTCTATAGCGCCAGATCCAACTGCCAGTGCCAGCATCGAGCCACATGCTTTCAGCTACGATACCACACGTTATCAACCGCCACAGTGGGATCAGAAGATAGATGAACGAAGCGATGCCAAGATGGATCCACACACGCCTGCAGCTATCAGCCTCGAAATTGGGATAAGAGTAGATTAACGAAGCAATGCTAGTATGATAAGGCGACAGGATGATGAGCAAGTTGAACACAGAAGGGAGGATTATAGGGACCGAGTACAAGGGTTTGCTGGACAGAAGGAGACGGAGGGCATGTGCAATATGCAGTCGAGAGAAGACAAGACAAGGGAGGGAAAAGAAGCTGCAAGGCAGAATGCATCGCGGCTGACAATGAGCATGCGAAGTCAGGGAAAGGGGGGGGG